ATGGCTATTACTTGTACACTGCTTGTACACTGCATGTTCAAATAAACCATTTGTGCAGTATAATGTTTCCAACCATCAAGGGTTGGAAAATTTATAGCTGTTTCCCAGAGAAAGCAGCTCTAAACTTTAGATATCACATGTCAAGTAAGTCAAACACAGGTATTTTACATCTACATACTCATGTACATTGCTAGCTTATGTGGTTAAGAGTGAACTGCTGCTAAAACCCACTGCTCAAGTCGAGATTTTTCATAGCCCCTGGATCATGTGACATAAAAACTGCAGTTTAAGGTTTTTTTTTATTATTTCCTTTACAATAAAGGAATTATAACTTAGATAACATGAAAATTTAAACTATAACATACATTATAATGTTAATTTCATTGATATGTATTAATAGTAAAGTGGCTTAATTAAATTTTGAATGTAATGCAGTACCATATGCAAAAAGGAATTTAAAAATGGCACCAGGGGCCATAGGATTAAATTATGTTTCCACATTGTGAATGCATGTGATACAGAAGTGTAAAGTTTTCCTATTTTAAAATAGTTCTCCTTGCTGGAACCTGGAGGTAGAAATGACTTCACCCTATTTTAGGTATCTGACTTGACCCGTATTGGTGTTCAACAGTTTAAGATTAAATAAATAATCTAATCCCAAATTATTGTACCTGAAGATATCTATTATATTAAATGAAAGGTAGTTGAAACTATTAGTCTTGTGAGAATAATCAATTTGATTATTCACTTGATTAATGAGCCCAAAGGTTATTCAATTAGTAAATTTCACTGATTACGAAGTTTCACTGTGCTGTTTAAGTAAACTGAAAATCAAGAGTTGTCTAGGGAAATAATGTAACTCAAGTATTAACTTGCAACAAAAAGTTCGGGATTTTAATAAGGCAGGCTGGAGAAAAGAAAATTATCATTTTTATGACATTGTTTAATAAATCCCACTAGTTCATACTAAAAGTTTAGATAATCTAAGTCCTCGAAAATATAGATGTTAGTTGTTTGCAGCATCAGTCACAGCTAGCTAGACCTAAGTACTGTAAATGGCAATGAGATTGATAGGCTAGTACATTTAAGTAACTGTGAAACATATTAGTTGCCATATATTTCAGGATGTGAGTTGCAAACATGTAACATCACTACAATTACTTTCAACAGTATCTGTTTTGTCTGGTGAGTCAAGATGTTGTCCACCATACTGTTTAGATAAGTGTGTTCTTTGTACTTGTTTCATGTTTGACTTGTGTACATCCCTCGTATTGACTTTATAATTTTTTGTATTTGTAAGTTTTTTTCTTAAGTTTTAAGTATTGCAGACCTCTTGGATTTTAGTTAATGCTTTCCAGTAATTAAGAATGTCTTGCTGCTTTACCTCATCTGTTTCACATTACTTCTCCAATGCTAATTAATTTGTGGTTTGGATTTTTTTTCCCATTTTTTCAACAAAGGTAAATGACTTTTTATTATATTTCAATGTGTTACTTTCCATTTTTCAACTTGCTATTGATACAAAGTTATTGAAAGATTGCATTATGTATAAACTGCCAGATTTTGAAGTTTTCTCAATTTGTCTTGCTTTTTGTGGGTTCATGTCTATTGAAGTAACTTGTTTATCAAACAGAATACTTTATGCTCCTTATCATTGTTCAAAGTTGTTAGTGGACTATCTCATATTATTGGAAAACTGAAATGCTAGTTATAGCAAACTGTTTTCCACTCATTTATGTCAAAACTTTTTGTTGCTTTGGAGGGTCTGCCTTACTCCTTGCCTTTGTGATACCTTGGATTTTGATTGGTTCTGCATTAATTTATTTCACCATTTCTGGTATTTGCAATATGGAAATAACCTACTCTTCTTCGTTTATTTTTTCTATGAGGTGGGTTAAGGTATTTTTATTATATCCTTACGTTGGTATTTTAAAAGATTTACACCAATATTTCTCTTACCATTTGGTGTGTACATCAAATCTTTACCTTAGATTACCATAATTATATTCACACTGTTAAACCCCCCCAGTGGTTCAGTGCTAAATTTGCAGACTTACAACACTAACATCTAAGTTCAATTCCCTGTAGTGGAAAGAAAGCAGATAGCCTAATGTATGGCATAGAACTAAAGGAAAATAAAGGGACTTGAATGTTTGTGTGGGAAAGTTTTCATCATTTTTCTTCAAAGCAAACTATTCAAAGTTGTTTAAAAGTGGAATAATTGTCTTTATTGGACTGCTTTTCTAGTTGAACCCTAGTATGGGTAGCAGTAGCCTCTGTGGATTGGATATACTTGCATTTTGATCTGTTTTGACTTTTGTACTTAAATCAAGGGAATATCATGTTATTTTTTAATAATTATTTTATATGACAACATGCTTGTTTGTTTACTAGAGTCCTTTGCATCTGAGTTGTATGTTATATATTCAGTGCATATCTAACCTTTAGGGTGGTGTTCAGAAATACACTGAACTCTTTAAATGTAATTGTTATTTGGAAAACCTATTCCATTACTTTGAGGTTGTCATGATTCAGTATGACTGTGTTATACATTCTTATCATGGTTTGTCCACTTGGTATCTTCCATGTTTGTATATATGGCTATGTATTCAAGATGCCTGTTAATATAAAATAACAGACAGCTAGTGTGTTGGCGTGCTGTGTCATAACCAAGGTTTCAAATATTTCTAAAAATGTTAGTATCCACCTGAAATGAGACAAAATATGCATGTTTCTCACAGTGTTTATTTATCGCCCTTAACACTAAAAATGTTTTACCACCATGTAATGCCCCCTTGACTGTTTTTCGGAAGTGTAGTTTTTACAATATTCAATGTTTGTATGCTAAAATCTATATTAGCCAGATTATTAGACATTTAAAGGTAGTGATTAAAGAACACCAAGGGAATGTTGACAAGTGTTTATAAGCCTGCACTATCTGAGTATCATGTAAATATAGTTCACAATATCTTATGGCACAAACTAAATTGTTCTTTAACTGTTTCTCTGTTGAAAAAGTTATTTTTTGCAAATCAGTAGAAATGTATAGATATAAACTTCCTCAATTGCATTTAAGAAACATTAACAATAACAACATCAAGGTTAAAAAACTATATAGAAATTAATTAGGTAGCTATTAGTTAAATGTATAGTGCTGTTGATGGTGCTTTGACACTTGTATGAGGCAAAGAAGCTTTCCCTAACTGAAATTTGTAAAGAACTATTTAAGGGTAAATATGTCAAAAGAGCATCTAACTGGACTCGTTGGTGTCATTTATTGATGTGCTTTCTACAGCTTATCATTTTGTCAGCTGTTTTCGTATAGCCTACTGTTAACCTGCCTTTCCCCCTTGAATTTGTGTGGATTTCACACAGATAATATTTAATATGATTGTTCAGTAAAGCTTTTACATATAGCTGCATGTTTCTAACTATTCTTTATTATGACACTTTTTTATCTTGATGGAAACAAATTGTAATAACATTCAACTAACTAATTTCAAATTGTGTCATTAACACTAAGGATGACCTCTATTTTTTACTTTATTTTCTACCTTTTCAAGTGTGTAGTATTTAAATGTATTTTACTGATGCTTCGTAGGTGCCAACTTTCATGTCAAATCAGTGGAAAGTATCTTACCATCACAGCCTGTTTTGCATCTTTGTAAACTTTCATCTGATCACAGGTAAGTAATGTCTCTTAGAAATTACTATTATTTTAAAAATACATTTTAATTTGGTTTAGTACATTATGGTAGTTTAATACTCAGTTTTGTGAATGATTTTTTTTTTTCATTTGTTTGTAACTGGCATTTGCTAGTGTACGTACAACTGTAAAAATGTGTTTGTAACTGGCATTTGCTAGTGTACGTACAACTGTAAAAATGTAGCATTGTTTTGTTTATAATGATCATAAATTACAAAACACATTACAATCAGTAGCTTCAGAAGAAATATGTAATACTTGCCATTTCATATGGAATGGAAGAGCTAGGTTTTTATTACAGAAAAACTAGGTTTTCTATCAAATAATTTACTTTATATATATATATATATATATTGTATGTCTTAAAGATAAATTTAGTGAATTGTATGGTATCTTCAGGTCAAACACATCATCCTGAGAGTGATAGATCCACTGAATATCAGGAGATTCAAAGATATCTTTAAAAAGTCAATCTAAATTTCTCTGAATAGCCCAGTTTGTGAAAATGAAATAAATAGACTAGACACAATAAACAATCTTTATTAATTTCACAAACATGATGTATGTACTTGCATAGGTGCTGGACTTTTGCTGAAGGCAAACTTTTCTCTCTCCTAACTGCCTTCTTCTAGATTGTGTACCAGACTGTTTAAATCTAATGTTCCTTACTTAACAGGTAATGTCAGATTTATTCACGGTGACTAGAACTATCCAAATGATTGCTCATTTTCATTCAAACATAAGGAAGATTGTAACCTCAAGATATTACCTGATTTACCATTGGAGGACACAGCTGTCTACATTCATGCACAAGGTTTAGTGTTACAACTATATAGTACCACTCACAGGTAGAACAAGTGTTATTTCCATAGAATGAAAAAGGCAGCTAAAATGAAATCAACTTTCTTGACCACGTGTTAAATGAAAAATGTGCATGCACACACACACAAAATAACTGATACATTACATTTCGAACTGTACTTCAAAGTTGTCCTCTAGCTAACAATTAATTTTAAATTTAAAACCAATAAAATGTATATATACACACTTGTGTTGTAACCTTCTTTTGCTCCTGTGAACACACACCTTTAACAGAAAACACAACCATTTAACAATGATTAAGCCAAACAGTGAAATATTACATAGTAAAAATTGCCCAATGATGATATTAGTATGCAATTTCAGTCTCTTTGAGGATCAGTGGTAAATTTACAGACTAACAATGCTAAAATCCAGGACTTGATCCACATAGTGGACACATAGCAGTTAACCTGTTGTGTAGCTTTTTTGCTGAAACAACAATAATAATTTTAACTTCATAATTAAGAAACCATTAGGAAAGATATTAAATTGCAATAATATAATAAAGTAGTGATACATAAAATAAAAAATGGTTAAAAAGAATTAAATTTTGTTAAGGTTGAATTTATTAAACACAGTTCGGTACACAATAAAATAAAAGAATATACAAAATATACACACACATCTCAACAACAGTGACAAGGTCTGACTCCCATCATATTAACCTTGGCAGTAGATACTTTAAAGTTGTGGTGGATCACCGACAGGCTACCAATATGTTATAATTTCATGAGTTTTGGCCAAGGTTGTTGTTTTTTTTATGGTGGTAACATCAGAGGTGAACACACATCAAATGTCTTTGCTTGATGGTAATCAAACATTCTCCAATGAGACATCCTAAGCTCCTGATGCCTCAACATTCACTTTTCTTCCCGTTTCACTGTTGATGGTTATGCAGTTGGTGGCTGTGGCTGAGACACTTGAAAACTTGGCTCAGCAAACATGTAGGTAGTAGTTGTCAACAACTAGATTCCTAAAATGATGGTTGCTTCTTTTGGCAAGGGCTTGGCTTCTGCAGATGGGTCTGCATTGGACTGGGGCTACCTGGCTCCAGGATACTTCAAAGCTAACTCAGTGACCAACTTGGTGGGATCCCATACATCATATGCATCAACCAGCAATGCATCTTCACCCATGTCTTCACTAGATTAAAAGTTGGGCTGACCCCAGAGTCGTAGGGTCAGTGGGACAGTCCAGCTCCTTGCAAAACAGGAAACTTTGTGTATTACTAATGGTCATTGTACCCACTTCCTCCCATTATACATTTAAAGAAAACATGGAAGTTTAATCACTGAAAAGACTGTCATCCCAACTTGTTGAAGATAACCAGAATGGTCAAGAGTTTGATCTTAAAAAGCATATTTGAAAATGTAAGGTCAGGTGTATTCCAGTTGATCAAAAGGTCAGCAACTTATAAATATATTTAAATTCAATCCAACTTAAATATCCTGTGCTACTCTTTTTAAAAAACAAAAGATAGAACAGAGCTTTCTCTGAGACATAGTGTGAGTCTCTCCATTATTCTTATTTTTCCATGAAGATTCACTAATGCCAAAATTAAAACATTCTATCACTAATAATAATGAAAATAACAGGTCAGTAATTATTGTTATTAACCTAATATTATAAGATCTTAACATCTAGATCATATCATATTTTTCTATTATTATGTTTCCTAATAGTTATGTTTTTATTTAATTTATCCATTTGTGTTATTCAGCACTCATGAATTCTTTATACAGGGTTTGTATGGGTCTTGGAAAATTCTGGAAGTTTTGGAAAAATAAGAATTTATCCCAGTGTTTGGAAAAGTCGTGGAAAATGAAAATTTTTCCTGTCAGTATTTTAAACCAGTGTTTTCCATAATTTGTTTATTTGATGATTACATCATATAATATCTGATAGCAACAATCTTCTAAGTGAACCCTCCCCTCTGTGTTTTCCCATAGTGATGAGCATGAGCTGCAAATGCGCATGCATAGATAGTAACTTGAATTACTTCAGCAGTACATGGTTGAATGAGGCCAATGATGTCTGAGTCTTACCATTCAAGCAATAATTTAATTGTGATTGATCTGTTTTTTTCCATCATTATTTTTATGTCCTGAGGTATTGATTTGAATGTGTATTTGCATAAAACTTGCTGGGAAATGTATGTTTATTATTGCATGGCTTCTGAAGGATGAGTGCAAGGAATGGCTCATTGCAAGTACACGTCGCCAAGAAGTCTGTTGCAATGCGTGCCATAAAAAGTTCAATGTTGGCAGTATGGACAAGTCTGCAGTGATAAGCCATATGAAGGAGGAAAAGCACAATGCTAGTGTGCATAAATTGTACTCGTCAACAGCAGGCACACCAACCATATGCAGTTTGATATTGACTGAATCTAGGTCAACACAAGGTAGAACAACAACAGTTAGGCCTACTGTTGTAACAAATCAACATGATGCTATAGTCCAGAAAGTAAGTGAATAATATTCCTAAGTTAAAGTTAATACTAAAGAGAATGGGCTGAATTTCATTGATTTAAATGCACAATACAATTTAATGAAGTTGCATTATTTTGCAGTTAGTCTTTGAATGATTCACTTCTATTCATCTAGGTGTCAGTACCTCATTATGCAGTTTGTTCATTATAGGGCAGACTGGATTCATATGTTTCAAAAGAACATGAGTAGAAAGCTGAGATTTTGTGGGTCCTGAAGACCATTGTTAGCTGGCACAGTTACAAAAGCTGTGAAAGAATAAATAAACCATTTAAAAAAGGTGTTCCCAGATAGTAAAATTGCATCCAAGTTCTTTTGAGGGGAGAAAAAATGTTCATGTGGCTTGTTTTGGATTGGCCCCATATATTAAGTCAAATTTGCATCAAAAGCTTGGGAAAGATACAGACTTTATGCTCTTGTACAATGAATCCTTGGATGGTAAAAATCAAGAAGACCAACTTGATGTGTACCTTTGGTATTTTGACTCTGAAATAAATCTTTCATAATTTCATGATTCTGCATTTCTTGGCCATATACAGGCTTATGATCTCTTAAGCCATTTCTTACAGCTGACAAAATAGCTTAATCTTAATCATCTTTTGCAACTAGGGATAGATGGTCCAAATTTTAACTAGTCATTCCATGAGAAAATAGAATTAGAGTTAAAAACTACAAATTTGGACCTATCCTTAATCAACACTGGGTCTTGTAGTCTCCACACAGACCATGGGGCTCTTCATACTACTTTCAAAGCCTCTGATTGGGATTTAGAAGCAATACTTAAATCAGTGTACCACCTTTTCAAAGATACTCTAGCCAGATGGGAAGACTTTGAGAAAATTACCAGGTCTCGTGCGTATTCACTAAAATTTTGTTTTACTCAATCGGTAGAGAATGCACCTGTTGCACAAAGGGCAATTTAAATTATTTTGTTCAAATACATGGGCCAAGTCACAGATTACAAGTCCTTATGGTATGTTGTCAAACTCATTTTGGTACTTTCTCATGGGCAAGTAATTATTTAAAGGGACTTTTCTGTGAATGAAGGATGTCTTCCTTGTTGGTGAGTGGTTAATCTATGATTATGTGAAGTCAATTGGAGGTATTCTGGAAGCTCCTTTGTCAAAGGAACTGTTCACTGCCACTCAAATGTTAGACAAAAATATAATCAATACCTCAATGAACAGAGGAAGCAGCTGAACTGAATGAAAAGACGCAGAAAAGAAAACTTATCATGAGGATATTGCAAAACTTAAGGCTAGATGCCAAAGATTTGAAAAAAGATATAGCATCCTTAATTGAGGCTGCTGATGATCTTGCTGACAAGTCCAAAAACAAGGCAAAATAACTGATTTGGAAAAATCGAATAGTTTCAGGAAAATGGCAAAGGTTTTTAGAATTAAGAATTTTGCAGGAAGAAATTCAAAGTTGGTGGAAAAGTTAAAGAATTGTTAATCTATGTCCTGTCATTGTGTTTCACGTGTAGTCATACATGTATACACTTTAGCATAATGTATATAGAATAAACAGTTAATGTGGATTATATGACTGACTTCATGTTATATTTGGTGTAGAATATCAGTTTTGAAGGCTATGGAAAGTTTGGGAAAAAGTCATGGAAATCTGAATCACC